ACTTACCATACATGCATCTAGTAGATCAGCTCACTTACCATACGTGCATCTAGTAAATCAGCTCACTTACCATACATGCACCTAGCTGTGAGTAGATCAGCTCACTTACCATACATGCATCTAGTAGATCAGCTCACTTACCATACATGCATCTAGTAGATCAGCTCACTTACCATACATGCATCTAGCTGTGAGTAGATCAGCTCACTTACCATACATGCATCTAGCTGTGAGTAGATCAGCTCACTTACCATACATGCATCTAGCTGTGAGTAGATCAGCTCACTTACCATACATGCATCTAGCTGTGAGTGGATCAGCTCACTTACCATACATGCATCTAGTAGATCAGCTCACTTACCATACATGCACCTAGATGTGAGTGGATCAGCTCACTTACCATACATGCACCTAGATGTGAGTGGATCAGCTCACTTACCATACATGCACCTAGCTGTGAGTAGATCAGCTCACTTACCATACATGCACCTAGATGTGAGTGGATCGGCTCACTTACCATACATGCATCTAGCTGTGAGTAGATCAGCTCACTTACCATACATGCACCTAGATGTGAGTGGATCGGCTCACTTACCATACATGCACCTAGATGTGAGTGGATCGGCTCACTTACCATACATGCATCTAGTAGATCAGCTCACTTACCATACATGTATCTAGCTGTGAGTGGATCAGCTCGCTTACCATACATGCATGTAGTAGATCAGTTCACTTACCATACATGCACCTAGCTGTGAGTAGATCAGCTCACTTACCATACATGCACCTAGCTGCGAGTAGATCAGCTCACTTACCATGCATGCATCTAGCTGTGAGTAGATCAGCTCACTTACCATACATGCATCTAGCTGTGAGTAGATCAGCTCACTTACCATACATGCATCTAGCTGTGAGTAGATCAGCTCACTTACCATACATGCATCTAGCTGTGAGTAGATCAGCTCACTTACCATACATGCATCTAGCTGTGAGTAGATCAGCTCACTTACCATACATGCATCTAGCTGTGACTGGATTACTTCAGATTCACCATTTTTCAAACTAATAACACTGACACCTTTATCCACACTGTCCAATATATTCTTAACATGTGCCATCTTTGGTTCAAAGTCAGCTGGCTTCTGAAATCTCCTAAATTTGAACTGAATCTCCTCCATTCGCTTCTGCAGATAGTGAAGAGATAACATTTCAAAAAACATTCAGGTTTTATTTTGATAAACACTATGACTTTAGCCTACAAATGACTGTGACAATATGCAAATAAATTGATAACAAGACAGAGCAAACATGTTCACTGGTGACAATGAGTAGCATAACAAGATGACATCAATGACAGTACTAACTTTCAAACCATCAACTTTTTGTTGAAGTTGTTGCTGACTTAAACCACTTCCTGGTGGTGCCTTGATTCTCACACCTCTATTTAATTTCTCCAATTTGTTTTCGTGCTGACTCAAGTCTGTTTGAAGTTTCTGTAAATAATATTTATATATTGCATTTAATATATCTTATAAACATGGCAGTCAGATTTTCACATTACATGTACAAGAAGACTGCCATCCCAAAACCAGTCTTTTTTTTGGCACATGGGGTGTGACAACTCTTAGAGTCTGTCTCCAAGTACGTGATGTATTCTGCTTTGACATCACACTCTGGTGTAGTATGTCAGATATTATTTTATTGCACAGAGAGAATTTTGACCCAGTGCACAGGAACAGGAAGTAGTGTTGTGAACTAAGCTATTTATATCTGCTCTTTAGTAATGTAGATATGATAAAACCTAATAAACCTAATAAACCTCACATATTGTGTTATCTTCTCTTACCATAAATTCTTCAGGCACATCAGCAGCTACAATGTTAGACACGAGTCTTTGATCTAATGTTTTGTTAACTTGCAGTAACCATTGATCAAGTGCTTTGATGTCGTTGTCTGTCTGTTTCATTAATAATGCTGTGTCTGCTAACGCCTTTTCTCTGTCTTGAAGCTGAAATAGCAAGGTATTACATTGTATTTTTACACCACACACATCATTCCCCACCAATGCCCATCATTCCCCACCAATGCCCATCATTCTCCACCAATGCCCATCATTCTCCACCAATGCCCATCATTCCCCATCATTCTCCACCAACGCCCATCATTCCTCACCAATGCCCATCATTCCCCACCAATGCCCATTATTCCCCACCAATGCACATCATTCCCCACCAACGCCCATCATTCCCCACCAACGCCCATCATTCCCCACCAACACACATCATTCCCCACCAACGCCCATCATTCCCCACCAATGCCCATCATTCCCCACCAATGCCCATCATTCTCCACCAACGCCCATCCTTCCCCATCATTCCCTATCAATGCCCATCATTCCCCACCAATGCACAACGCCCATCA